CATTCAAGCCCAACATTCTGCTCAAGGCCTGACTTTCAGGCCTGACGTCTTCATCTGAGGCCCTCACCTTCTTCAGAAGCCCTCAGATTCGTTAAAGGCCCTCACCAACATCTGAGGCCTTCACTTTCACCTGAGGCCCTCACCTTCGCCAGAGGCCCTCATCTTCGCCAAAGGCTCTCTCCTCCGCTAGACTACCACCTTACGTCGTTGCTTTGTCGAAACACCACATGCATGAGGCCTGGACTTTTGCTGGGCCACTGCCTGACGTCAAGAGTTCTACAAAAGTACCGCCCTACTACAACGGTCTTTCAGACCCCAGTCTCCTACCGACTACGGTCCTTCAGGCCTTCGTCGCCTACTATGGTCCTTCCGACCTCCATCAACAGACAACGGTCTTTCTGACCCCGGTCTCCTGCCGACTACGATCCTTCCGACCAGATAAACATGTATATGTAATTCCTACTATGTAATGCAATATGCATGATGTACATTTGCTACATCAATCCAAGGCCTTCTCCCAAGGAAGAGCCTCATTTGTAACAACTACAAATACTAGTGGATTCATTCAAACTGGGCCAGGCCCCGTGGTTTTTCCCCCTTTTCAGGGGTTTTCCACGTAAAAACTCTGGTGTCTCTTATGAATGTTTCACCCCCTCTTTTATCTGCTTGTGTGCTGGATCTTCGTACAATGCTAAGACGTTAAACCATATATTTCTCTACCGCCGCGAATATTCCAGGACGCAACAATTTTATTTTAATTTTTTTTACACAATGAATCAAACTCAAATAGTAAAAATAATCACACAATGTCTAAAATAGAGCTAAAAGAGTCTCCATATTATTAAGAAAAATGTTATCTGTTAATTTAACTTAGAAAAAAGTTAAAACTTACTGTCCAGAAATTTATCTAACTATATAAATTTTCTAATTGGATATTTTTTAAATTACATTATTAAATAAAATTTCATTTGCAACACGTTTATTATGAATTTATAAATCTCCTGCCCATAAAGTAAATTTTGATAACTATTGCAGAAATTAACTTTCTAGTACACATTCTTTTTAAAAGTTGGGAAAATATAATGATTAAATAAAAATATAATTGAGAACCGAAAATTAAAGCAATAAAAAATTCATCCTAAATAAAACCTAAGGCTTCATTTGGAAGAGCTTTTGATCAATATTTTTTTTGTTGCTTTAAAAAAATTAAAAAATTATTATTATAATTTTAGAGATATTTAAGCCGATTAATGAAAACTCATATTTTATTTGGGACGACTTTTTTAATGCTTCTTAAAACAATTTTTTAAGTATAAAATTTGTTGGGAAAGCCTCACGGCCTAGTGGTCGGCGTAACAATAATGACATTTGTCGATATGCCACCCCCTGTTTACTAAGATCATCATAGATAATTAATGCGTGCATTCCATTATCGCGGAAATATTAAAAAATTTGTTTTAATAAGTAATAAAAAAAGTTGTCTCAACTATTTGAATGAAAGCTTATATAGTTTGTGATTTAGACCATCTCCAACGAAAAATCGTATTTATCA